AAATAGGTGCAGCTGGAGCGGTCGACTAGTCTCAGACTCAAACACCAATGGCCGATGTCAGACTTTGCGATTGGAGCGATTATGCACCAATTGCAGGAGCGAGCTCCAAAGTGCGAGCGACGGGAGATTTACCCGAGCGGCGCCGTGTGTATCGGTCGTCGGCGGGGTAAATCTCCCGTCGCTCGCACTTTGGAGCGAGGGGTGTGGGTACTTAGGACAGAACGCGACTTTTTCGCTCTTCGCAACGCGACATCGCGCGGCAGGCTGGCGCACCCGTAGCGAAAACAACTACGGTATATAAGAACGCGCGATTGGAGCAGCTTTTTTTGCATGCGTGAATTTGTAAGTTTCTGATTCCTTACTTGCCCGCGCTCACACCCATTGTATTGATAAATGCGGTGAATCACTAATTCTGTCATTATTGAAAACGTTTTGTGACTTACACGATTCCGGGCGATGCCACTAAAATGGTGTTTTACGAATTATCGGTGAACGAGGTTTAATAGTGTCGCTTGTGCTTGCATTTTGTGGGTTCATATTGTTGTATAGACTTCTGCATAAGGGTATAACATCTTTTACGAAACGCTTCTGTCCTCATTACGGATATGATACTCATTTTGGACGCTGGCGCCATTTGGGGCCAGGTGGCGCCACAACTGTTTCCCACTAAATTCGTTTTAAACTTTGTATAGGGGTTATTCGGGGTCCTGATTTGTTGTTAGCGCTATTCGGCGCCTGCTTCCTGCTCGTCTGCGCCCTCGCACTAATTAGATCGCAATAGGACTAAGCCTTTGAGTAGTGTAGGGCTCCAAAGTGGGTAGGCCATTCCCCTGTGGTGTGACACACTCCAACTTTTGCCACACGGTGCGTGGTTTACCCACTCCCCTCCCCTAATGCTTAGTCGTAGGCGCTGTAGGTGAGAAAGCTTAGAAAGCAGAAAGTATGCGTTAAACAGCACGAATGTGAAAAATGAGTGTCATATTCATGATCAGGGCCCCAAATAACCCCTATGCAGAAGTTTACAGTCGTCTCATCAAACGTCCATCAACCATTCCTCTTCCAGGTTCTCCAGAAGCTCTACCATCCATCTCTGCAAAAATAACCTACCTCCCTCTTCACTGCTAGTTAGCGGTCCACTTCTGGTTACCATTTCCTCGTTCATTATCAAATCCATGGCTATTAAGCTTCAAACTCCTTGTCGCAATCAAAGCCGACACAAATATCGCGCTCCAATCGCGCGTTCTTATATACCGTAGTTGTTTTCGCTACGGGTGCGCCAGCCTGCCGCGCGATGTCGCGTTGCGAAGAGCGAAAAAGTCGCGTTCTGTCCTAAGTACCCACACCCGTTGGAGCCATTTCCGGTCAGGATGCAAAAATCGCTCAATCGCAAGTCTGACATCGGCAAATAAGGGGCTAGGAAGAAGGCCGGTTGACAAGCATGTGGTTGAAGACAACGAAGCTGAATTACAACCAGTTGAATCTAACTACATAGGAGTTCAACATATGGGCATGTTTTATACCTAATATTTTATCACTAAAAGCAGAACTTATTGACCGTAGGTTCTCAATAAGACCGCGTTCTTAGTTCGCGACTTCGAAGAGTGAGATAGAAGGCGATAATGAAGAAAATATGTATAGATTGGAAGATTAACATCATGGGAGATCAGGATAGTAAGAGATTAGGATAGTGCGCTGACACCATTACCCTCAACTTCGGAAAACGAGAAGAGCGTCGAGCAAGCATAAGCTGCGACGGGCAAGAAAAAAAAAAGACCATCGTCACTTGTGGTGTTGGTGTGCACTCGACCCTTCCCATTTTCGAAAATAGTATGCACTGACGATTCGTCTGGATATGCCTAATCTACAAATTCCCTATATCCTAATCAGTACTCATCTAACCAAAGGAATATCCTACTCCAGGGCTAGCGTAATCTCCTAAGACGCGAACTATGAACGCGGGTTGCGTGAGCACATTTCATTCGCATTACATTACTAGTAGCATGAAAGCTTGGCCAGCGCTAACCGGTCCAGATTCAATACCAAAGTTGTCCTCACATGCCATCGCTTGCAGGTAAATTTCAACGAAAGTAGACGATCTGTGGAACGAAATCGGAGTCTACTATGGTAGGGGGAAGCGCTAAGAGCGCTGAACATGTTTGAAACCACGGATAGCATATTCTCCCAGTTGAAGTTTTAGGACCAAGCCATAGAAGGGAGGGAAAACCCAGTTCGTGAGCAATCTCTCTTTTCTTCGGGGGACTTCCTCCTCCTTTCCTAGGTTGACAAGGAATGGTCAATTGGTCAGGCCGGCCATTTGTAATGAGGTGTAGTCCGATGCACGCGTCTTGCGACGCTGAGCTCAAATCCGTTTTCGGTATCTGCGGAACGATTCTCTGAAAGAAGTTACGAGGGATTCTTCTCACTGTGGCTTTCTCACTGTGGCGCCCTCTACATCCCCCGGTCATTCTTTATCTGCGCATACTACGAAAAGCTGTTTTGTTTTAATCATTTTGTGAGGGACTATCACTATCATCATTTGTTATTGAAATCTTGACTCTTTATTAGTCTCATTTGTGTCAGACTCATCACTATAACAACATAAAAAAGGAGAAGGAATTCAGTGAACTTCTGCCTCTTCAGTGAAGTGGGGTCGCAAATCAACAAAATAACCATGTGAACTTTCTGGGCCCATCAACCACGGAAAGCATAGTTCTTTATTGTAAACGTTTTGGACCCACCACAGGCCTTAGAGACCCGCCTGCCCGTCAACAATCTCTGTTTGCTCCGGGGCTTCCTCCCCATTCCTAGGCTCAGTCCTAGCTGCTCACAAGGTAATTACTTTTTATAGGCGGTTATGCCATAAAACACAAGAGCACCTACCTTTATAAAAAACAGAAGAAACAACGTAGAAATGAAGCTGATAACAGCTCGTAACTCTGAATTACTCCTTGAGCCCAACTAGCACCAGAGTAGACTGCGCACCGTAGGCCCTCTCTTGCCGGAATAGACCCCGAATCAGTTCCCAGTAGTGGGAAGCATTCCGTAATGCACATTTCTACCAGATATGTAAGGCGTTGTGATCCATTCTCCACGAGCTGCATAGGTTTCACGAGTTGGTTTCGCTAAGACAGGAAGCGATTCCCACTTTTAGGCAACTGCGAATTTTTCGCAGCGGGAACCCCAGTCCGTCACTGGTCGGGAATATACCTGGGGTTATCGTAGCAAAAAGTTCGTGTTGCATAAAACTGAAAAATCCTTTCTGTACTCTGCGAACCACACTTTGATTTCCTTGATGCTGTGTGGAGCGTGCGGTAGCGTGTAAAGCCAACCTGGTATAAATAGAACAAACCTTGTTAGGAAGTTATGTCACACAATTAAAGTGTGGTTGAAAAATAATGATCCACATACCTAAATAGTAAATAGTCTCTAGGAAGCAACGCTCAGCGTTTAGGTAAACAACCACTAGTGGAACCGGAGCGCAAGGGGAATGACAAGCAGAGAATAGGAGATGAAATGATCCACGGAAAAGATCAGACAGTGTTAAACGGAACATTAATGGAGTAAAAGAAAGAGATGAACTTGTATTTAATCTTTTTTTGTTGTTCTTCCATTGTCCTATTCTTCTATTTGTCACTCAAATCAAGTAATACGCCGGTTCACCTATTCTCTTAAGCTGAAAATGAACGGCCTGGATATCAAAAGTAAGATACTCTCAAAAGGAAGGAAAGCAAAGCTATTTCCCAGCAAATGGTTCACCACAAGTACAATGAACGTTGATGGTTCAATTTTTAAAAATATCTTACTTCCACTAGATGGTTGAAAAGCTGAAGAGCATTAGGAGATATAAGACCGAAATGAAGACTGATTGCTCGCCTGGATTGGTAAGATTCCCTTCTATAACAACAGTAGCACCATAAATGTCCACAGAAAGATTTCACTGGGACGTTATTTAATTGGTGTAAAGCTACACCTCCTTTTGAGACTGCTTGATGATCTGTCAAATTGACTTGCGGAAAAGAAGAATTTTACTGCCAGCATGAACAAAGAATAAGACAAAGAGAGGGAAGTAAATGAGGAAGTGGAACCCTCGAGAATTTTCAGCGGAGGATTGCGCGCTCCAACACGGTTTTGCAGCGGTTTCGGCGCGTTTTCTGAGTATCTGTTTCTCACGGTGGCCGTACGCAGCGAAATTTATAATTTGGGTGGCGCGAGCGGGCTGTGGTTCCTTCTTCCGCCCGTGTTCTTGGCATTACATCCTGCGTCTTCTGCGTCTTCTTTTGTTAGTAGTTCCTCGTCTCATTCTTCAACAAGGAGGGTCTTTTAGGGCAGGTTGCGCATTTTTGGAACGGTTTCCTGCATATTGTAGGGATGCATATAGGAACACAAAAACTCAAACGTCAACTTAAATGCGAAACTCAGCCGCTACGGTTGACTGAACCTTCGACAATCCCTTAAAATTCTTTTTTTGGGGGGGGTCTCATTCAATAGGGGATATTTGGTGCGACAGTTCATTTTGCATGGAGTAGACCTCTTTTTTTTGCAGGGGAGGGAAGCTCCTGGGTGGGTGTAAAAGTTTAAGCGAAATGGTTCACGCACCCGGGGATTCCCTCCCCTTGCAAAAATTGGAATTTCTGTAGCCGGCAAGAACTGTCACATCCACATGCCCCCTTACTGGATGAGACCCTCCTTTTTGGTACTGCTAAGGCCGTTCAGCGAAAATGAAACATAAATATGGATTGTGATCCCTATCTGCTCATACATAATGCAAGAGACGTTGAAGGCTTGCCTGAAAGACCCCCCTCGTAAGGGGCATAGTGCGACAGTAATTCGCATCGCTCAAATAGTCTGATTCCTCGCAAGAGAATGAAGCTCTCGGGTGGATGTCTGAGCAGCGCCCGCACTTCGGGGATTTCCTCATCTGTCATGGAATTTCGTTTTACCTCATGCTTCCTCTCTGTGTGAAATCCGTGATCCGTTTCGGAACTGTTGTTTCTATCATTATGCTATTCAGCAGAAACTGTGGGAACATGGTGCGCATGAACGTTCTCTCTGATGCTCTCAACAGCATCAACAATGCCGAGAAGCGTGGAAAGAGACAAGTGCTCATCCGGCCTGCCTCCAAGGTAGGATCTTAACACTGGTTTTTGACTGCAGTTGAATACATGAGTGGTACAGTAACAAGACTCTGAGTTTGCTTCTTTTAGAAAAGGAGCGAGCCTCGGTCCCAACTGACCTACGAGCTCTCCTGGGCTATTTAGTTCACTCTATTTTGAAATAAAGTAAATTATCGCGGAAAGTGGACTAACATTAGTCTTGGAGACACCCTTGGTTCATCTGCAATTCAATTTGCTGATGTCCAACGGATACCACGGCGGGATTGGCAGTTACATCCTACAACGTGGTACGTCTCCAATTTGGGATAAGTGCGTTAACACTGAAGTTGTTGTCTAACTTGGAAATTCTCATTGAGCACTCTTCGAAAATCGACCACAAGTCCATCCCTAGGCGGCTATGTCGCTAAATCTACACTGCAAAAGAAAACCCAGAGGCCGATATCGGCCACCACAAATTGATGATCCGTTATTGCCTCGCGGCCAACGAGTGCTCTTCTAGCTGGTAACGCAACGCGACCGCGGACGCTAATTGAATTGCTCGATTTTGAAGTCTGACATCGGCTAGATGCATTTGAACGTAGGGTAAGCTCCACTCAGCTCGTTGTGGTACTAAGGGGCACTACTTTGCAATAGTTTGATTGGGGGTGCTAGGTTGAGGGGGGGGTCACGCAAAGGCGCGGCGCTCTGTTTCGTCTGCACCTCTTAGGCCGATGTCATAGTTTGCGAATCGAGCGATTCGCTAGCGAATCGCTCGATCCGAGCGTTGCGCCAGCGAATCGAACGTTGCACCAGCGAATCGAACTTTGCGCCAGCGAGTCGAACGATGTACCAGCGAGTCGAACTAGGTACCAGCGACTCAATAGTGGCGGGACCCAACGTTTAAAGGAAGCCCGCCACTTTCAAACAGTGTCCACTGCAAAGTCCCGCCACTTTCAAACAGCGTCCACTGTCACGTGACACTGTTTGAAGTGTGGCGGGCTTCCTTTAAACGTTGGGTCCCGCCACTATTGAGTCGCTGGTACCTAGTTCGACTCGCTGGTACATCGTTCGACTCGCTGGCGCAAAGTTCGATTCGCTGGTGCAACGTTCGATTCGCTGGCGCAACGCTCGGATCGAGCGATTCGCTAGCGAATCGCTCGATTCGCAAACTATGACATCGGCCTTAGGCTCGGTCACAGGGCCGTTACTAATTGGTCGCAGCGTGGCAGTTTCGAAATACAGTGACATCGCAGACTAAGCCTTAGACGGAGCTGTTCTACGATCAAAAGAAGCCCTACCTTAAATAGTCCTGTTTTTTCGCTTCTGCTTTAGCAACTAGCCCTGAGGCGCAATTTTGAAAAGGTGGTGGACGTGTGGTTTCTTGGGCAAAGGGTCTGATTTGGCTGAGGCTGTGCTACCATATGCTCCTTATATGTTCCTTTTTTATTTTAATAATCTCTAGTAGATATGGCAGATATTTTTGAAGGTACTGTCCTTATTGAGGGGGCGACGTGGAAGCGCGATGGCAAGGCATTCACAGTTCCCGAATAAGCAAAATATTCGAATTAGCGAAAAGAATTGTATACGTATCGACCACGAAAATCTGCGCACGCGCGAACGCGGATGCGAAACAGTTTAGATGCGTATCGACGTAGTCAACTCCGCGCTCTCAGCGTTTCGCGTCGAGGCATCGAAAGCGCGAAGCGATGGGCCACCTCCAATTCACCGATCGATAGACACACACATCTTTTTAGAAGTTGGGAGTCGACGAATCCCAACTTGTAAATCGGCCCCTACCCATTTTGCGGATATGATTCCTTTCGCAGATCGTAATCAATCGTAAATTCGTTCGTATCGCGCGTCTTTCGGGATTGCGCAACAGTGAACAATCTTAAAGGAACCTTCCACGGAAAAAGCTCCGCCCTCATTACCACAGAAAACGATACCTTAAAGGAAAGAGTGATCATTTTGTCTTGTGTGTAGGATTAGTATTATCGAAACTAACGCTTATGTTCCGTTCTTTTTGCTATGCTCATGAGGCTAGGGGCCTAAGGTATCGTTTTTCTGTGGTAATGGAGGCGGAGCTTTTTCCGTGGAAGATTCCTTTAAGGGTCCGTGCATAGACCCTAGGAGGGTGGAGGAACTGGAGGAAAATGAAAATTGTTTACGCCTATTGGAGCCTCTCCCACTAATGAGGCTTTAATCTCTAATTCTTTTTCCTCTCTTCTAATTCCTCTAATTAATTTGTTACATTCTTTGTATTAATTTCATTTACATTTACTTTATTCTAAATCTGAACGTTAGTGAGAAGATTCCTTATCTTTTGGCTTACAGTTGCTTTTCGCACCATCTTTCTGCTACAGGCTAACACTTGATTTTTGAATTAGGAAACCTTGATTTTTGATATTAGGGAAACGGTTTCCATATAAACTTAGGTGGGATTTCCTTCTTTACGTGGGCAAAAAAAAAAAAAAAAACAAGAAAACCGCTAGGTTTATCAAGTGCGTTGCCGCGAGGCTTCTTGTTTTTGCGAATGTGGCGGGCCCATAAGCGTTACAAAAAACATGTTATCTTACCACATATAGCTTTACATACTCACCTTTACTTTTTTTTTGCAAAATTAAGTAGTTCACCCATCCCTGTAAAAATTGGGATTGCTAAAGTCGCACGAACTAATGTGCCGAATTACCTTCGCTCGTACTTCATGAAGCACTGATTAGTGTGATGGCGCTATGTTGGAAGTCGAGCATTTCCTCTTAGCAGCATCAACTTAAACCTTAATCGAAGATTCTCAGGCGCTCTGACGAACGTAGCGGATGCAACAACATTGCTGACATGAAGGAGCTCGATGCCCTGCCGCGAAGTGGAGACCCTAAGGCTGGTGTCAGACTCCGCGATCCGTCGCAGGTTTCGCTGATTTTCGCGATTTGCGATTTGCGCGAAACCTGCGACGGATCGCAAAAATTGCAAGTGCCCCATTTGAACATTTGAAACAAACAAGTGGAATCATGAGCAGTCGTCATTCAGCCATCACTATCAAGCAGAAGTGGCGGCAGGATTGGAGAACACCTTGCAGTATTGATCGGGCACTTGTGATTTCCGTGACCCGTCGCGTGAATCGCGCAAATCGCGAAAATCAGCGAAACCTGCGACGGATCGCGGACTCTGACACCAGCCTAAGGAAACCATTGTGATTTGTTCGGTACGGGCGTGAGGATAGCGAAAATTATATTGCTGTTGAATGAACGTATTTTGTTTGGCGCAGCGATACGCAACTTCAAAGTGAACATTTTCAAGAACAGGGAGTGGTTTGCAGGGTCCTGCCAGCTGAATGGCATTTCATACTTTCCAAGTTTTTTTTTGGTGATTGGTTCTCGTTGAGGATGGGAGAATATAAATTGTATTTCAAAATGACTGCGTAAAATGCAACTTTTCACAATGTTTATTTTACTATACTTACGTGAATCTCGGGGAGATGTTGGGCCAAGGATCGAAACCCACATTCATGATCACAGTATCAGTCGGCAGAAGATCGTCGGTCATGCTTTCTCTGTTTTATAGAATCAAAAAATCAGTAACAGGTGGCAGCTCGACTGGAAATTCGGCAATTGTATTGAAGGAAATAGGTGCACATTGACAATTTTCTTTGTTTTGCGGGCGTTTTTGGTAGAACCTTTCTAATTCAAACGTACTTACTCCTGTCAGCAAGTCGGCGAATTGCCAGGCTCTCGAATGTTCCATAACATGAACTTTGAGTGCAGGCTAGATGTTTTGAAGCAGAAAAAGGCATGTGTACAGATGTAATCATGTTGTGTTTGTGAATAGGTCGCTGTTTTACAGGTTATTGTTCGCTTCTTGACCGTAATGATGAGACACGGATACATTGGAGAGTTCGAGATTGTTGATGATCATCGAGCAGGCAAGATTGTTGTCAACCTCAACGGCCGTCTCAATAAGTGCTCGGTTATTTCCCCACGTTTTGATATCAAGCTCAAGGTTTGTTCTCTTTCGTATATTTTCTTTTTTCTTTCCGCGCGTACTCTTTTAGGCTGACGTCATACTTTACGATTCGATTAGCGATTCGCAAAGTATGACGTCGGCCTTAGACGCTTTGAAAATGATTGTGTCGTTCAGGATATCGAGCAATACACAACTAACTTGCTCCCATCCCGTCAGTTCGGGTACCTCATCCTAACCACATCCGCTGGTATTATGGACCACGAGGAAGCTAGGAAAAAGCATATAGGAGGGAAGATTCTCGGATTTTTCTTCTAAATGTTATTGTTATAAATAAATTGTTGTTATGTTTTGCTTTGTGTTTTTGTTATTTTCGCACATAGTTGATCTAAGAAGTACTGTGCCTTGCATAGATTAGAGGCCATTTCGTGGATTGGAGTTTCCGCCCCATTCAGCGGTGGATTCTTGTAGCGTTATCATTTAAACGATCCGTTTGTCAGACAGCTTCATGTTTCGTCAAAACGACTCAGAGTCGCTAACCTTGTGGGTCATGCATAGGGAGCAGAGGGATTCGCTGGTGCAATGAGCCCATCATGCTTTTCAACACATTCACGACGGCGCCCCTTTTCCACTTTTCGGTCGCGTGGGACGGACGCGATTTTGTGGGCGCCGCCGCCTCACCAGCAGATTTTGTTTTGTAAATGAACAAAAACATGAATGTCACAAAATAATTTCTGCAATGTCCAATGCGTAAAGATTATCTAAACATATAACAGTAGGATTTCGATCAGAACGACGAAATAGTGGTTACGAAAAGAGAGCATTTATTCACTTTCCCCGTGAAGGAATTTAAAAGCATTTTACACTCGATTACGAGATTTGCCCACCTATCTGTCCATTCCTAGCGCCTGGCAAGCGATTATCAGTTGGCAGCCCATATGGGCTGCCATCGTCCCAGGAGCGCATGTTGTTGGCAGCCCATATGGGCGGCCATCGGCGTGAATGTGTTAATGAGGCACTTTCAACGGAAGCCCTGAGACCAGACCAATGCAGGGTGAACCGTGCTTTGCGCAGATTCCAAAACTTTTACACCAACCTCTTGCGGTGTGTATGAGTACGATACCCTTGTACCAGCTTGGTATGCCTATTCAGTTTTACGCCCACATTGACGTATGAGCCGTTTTCGACATGGAAAGAGGATGCGGGCGGTAAGCAATCTATGGCGTGCCTCATTTCGCTCAGACGACAGGGGTTGGGACATCATGGAACTTTCCGCAATCAAGTAGCGGCATTTCTACTATTTCGCATGAGTATGGGTACGTGTGTAATCTCAAAAAAAAAACTAATTGCAAAGTACTACTAAATTGGTGCTATACAAGTAGGGTGGGCACGCCGCATTTTTTGAACAGAAATGTATGTAAGTGGGACTGCTGCTCGCTACTATACTGTCACGAGAATCGGGGAATTCGTGAGCCAGGGGAGTGTAGCCAATCTAGGGGGTGGGGGTGAGGGCAGTCACTTGACATGCGTGAAAAGCTGGGTGTGCCCACCCCACTTGTATAGCACCACCAAATTTTCTCCAAACCTTCACCCTTTTTTGTATAGTGAAAAACTGAACTTTGAAGTACATCAATGCAATTACCAACTCTTTGAGAGCTTATATCTTTCTTTGGTGAGGTCCTTATGAAATTTGGTATGAAAAATATAAAGCTTCAAATTGCTTTCTTTTTAAAAAGGTGTCAAACTGTTGCAAATGTTCAATTCGTTAGAAAGTCGTTCCGTTCCATTTTTTACACACGCCGGTTTTCAACATTTAAACGTTTATAACTTCCTATGCAATAAACTTTTTGCAGACTCCAAGGTCATTTATAAGCTAGAAGTGTAGCGCTTTCGAAAGAGTACCGAAACTATGGTCCAATTCTTGAGGACGCGCGAGTTTTCATCATTCTTTCTTCACAATTAACCTTTTCCAAATCTCTAAGGCTATTTAGAAACTAGAATATTAGGGCTTTTAAACAAATGCTGACACTTTTTGAAGGGCCACTTTCCAATTATATTCCCGTTGTTCCGCTTTTTCTCTACAGCTTTTTCAGGCCATTCTCCTGAAAAGCAAGTTTTCACCCTTCAAACGCGCACAAGTTTCGTGAAAGGCGGTGAAAACCGTTGAACTCTACAAGACTAGTACTTTGTGGTATATGCTAAACTCCCTGAAAAGCTTTGAAATGAAAAACCTTTCTTTTGCCAGAATTTCCTATTAAGATTCTAGAAATGAACCCGCATTTGTTGCACTCACATCCACTTTGTTCTTGGTCCGAAAGCATTAGGTTTCTCTGGAAGAATTTGTTGGCTCGTGCGCACTGGAATATGAAGCGATTCAACAAGATCTGCTCTGGGATGCGCCATTCAATCGTCTGTAATTAGTGTTGGTAATGGAAACCTCTTCTCCTTGCCGCTTTGCCACGCCTTGGTACATGCAACTTTTGCGACCGGTACTCGAGCTTTCGATCCTCCCCCGTTCAATACAATGGCCAAATACAACTCCTCATTGATCTTTGCGCTACGGGCGCTTGAACGTGGGCCAATGTGCGTAGGTGCTGGTGAAGAGTCAATAATTTGAAAAAAAAAACCTCACTCAAAAGTTGATCAATGCTTTATAACAACCAAGGCAAGATGAAGTTTGTGTCCCGTTGCGTGAGTACCGACCGATAGGTGCTTTTCTAGTAAAGTAATTTGGAGGTGAAAGCAGTAGCTGATTTATATTTGTAGAAATCTTGTCAGTGCATTTGGAATTCTTATTATCAGCGAAGCGAAGTTCTTACGATTAGAAGGTGATGGGGGATGCCGCCGCTGTTTTTTTGTTCCAGCAACTGTTGTTGCCTTAGCCTCGTTCCTGTACGACAGTTATATTTCCAGATCTTGACGGACCTGATGACTTTATTGTGATCGGGCCATGGATCGTGTAATTGGACTAATCGATATGGACTGTTTCTATGCGCAGGTTGAACAGCGAGAACGACCGGAGTTGTGGGACACACCAGTGGTGGTTGTTCAACATGCAAGAGAAGGAGCTCCAGGAGGGTGGGCTGCACTCTTGTCAAACATGCACTAGTTCATTGGTGCAGAAAAATGCTGATCCTAGTTGCCTCTGACTTTTGCAAAATGGGTGCACGATAATGAGAACTGCTGCATGTCTTATTTTAGCAGAGACGACTTGCCTCCCATGGTTTGGCTTTATTTATTGTAAAAGAGCCTATAGAAGAGCCTCAGTAATCTCCTGTAATTTCTGATACATCCAGTAGACGACTAGCTCCATTTAAACATCAGGCCATCTTGCATTCACATGCTGAGCCACATCACTAGTAGAACACTTGTTCTGTTTTAGAGTAATTGCGGTGAGCTACGAGGCTAGAAAATTTGGTGTGAAACGTGGAATGATGATCCCTGAAGCCAAGACCAAATGTCCTGAATTGAACGTTTGCTTCGTGCCTCAAGGAGAACATATCGATAAGGCCGATATCCAGAAGTATCGGTGAGCTCAAATGCTTCTTGAGATACTTTTTCTGAAAATTTCATGGGTCATATCTCACCCTGCAAAGTGAAAGCACAGTAAGAAGTAGCACGAATATGTGTACTGGTAGTCATGGGATCAGTTCCAGCTGCGTTTCCTCATTTGTTTCTTTGAAAGCAATGAACGTCATTAATTATTCCGGAGGCATTTCCATGTCCTCGACAATTCCTCAATTAATCAGGCTAACTTCTTCATTTTTTTTGGCTAATGTACCGTTGAAAACTAGTTCTCCCATCATAACCTGCGCTAGTTTCTAGCGATCGGTTAACCGAACAAATTCGAGCAGTCAGAAGATTTACTCCTAAATACGCACTGAAATGTTTTTCTTCTTAGCAATATTTTCGTCGGATTGAAGAAAACATGAACTTCTTCGAAAAAATAAACTGACTGTCGTATCCCTTCGGTTAGTTAGTTAGGGCAGACATTGATCATTTTATTCCTTTCAGTTTTCGCTGTTTATGTTCGTAT